TTTCTTCTCATGAAGAGGAGAAAGGCGGGTTAATCATCTATTGACTCCTCAGCCTTATTACTGGCGAAAGCTCTGGCTTTGCTAAATTTCCGCTTTTTAGTTACCTAACAAACATACATCAGCAGGAGGTGCAGATAAAGATCGAAAGATTAAGCTTTGTCACTCAAATGATAATTAAAAAGAGTATTTTAAACACACTGTAAATACGCACAAGCCATCATAAAATCATCAAAACCCTGCCAGAGCTCACCACCTCCAGAGTATATAGATTATCAGGGAGAGGGATATTGATGTTAAGTCTGCTTATCTTGGAAGATTGTCATTAACTGTCCCAAGCCTGCACTCAGCCAGCCACCTGAGCTAGGGGAAGTCAGGGAACCTGGCTTCACACATTCTCGTGACAGATTAGTGGGATTTGGAATGAGCAGTTTCATATGCATTTAAGAGTGATCCCTTTCTGTTCACCTCTAGGATTCCTTCTAAAATATATTATTCCGAGTACTTAAATAAAAACAACAGAAACCGAGGTTCTGTTGTCCTGCTTTTAAAAAATCATTTCATATACAGAATAGATTTAGGAAAGCAGATTAATTTCTGCGAAAAATTTCATTTCTAACATGTCATAAAAAGACACAGGAGCCATGTGTATTAGAGGCATTCAGTAACATCACCTTTCATAAAAAGAAATGCTTGTCAGCACAATCTTATTACGATGTCATGCATTGTTAAACTGGTAAAATATTTCTGTATATTCCAATTAGTGCAACCATCTACTGGCACAGACATTACAGAGAAAACTATCTTCTTTAAAAAAAAAGTCCTTTCCACTGGGAGCCAATCCTTTGTTTGACAATTCAGAGAGTGTTATTTAGAGATTTTAATTGCTCAGTTGATCTGTGGCTGGATCTCAATAATCAAAACAATAAAATTGTTGGTTTCTTTTCTTTTTTTATTTTTTGACAACTGTAATAAAATGCCAGTAGTGTCCTGGGATAGTTAACTCAAGCTGGATTGACACCGTCATATTCTTTTTCAATATCTTTTTTATCAGCGAAAAACTAGCTATTGCTTAAAAAGTAAAAAGTACCTTAATAACGTTGCCATTTTCAAAGATATTCCAAGTATAACTTAACGTCCACATGAAACGTTCAATCTGGTTATAAGAATCTAATCTGATTATCTGTGAAAAGGGTCGACAGTTCTTAATTAAAAAGAAAAAATTCTTCAAATCCATTAGAAAAAAGCCAAACATTCCAATAAAAATGGGCCAAGCCACAGGCAAATATTTCACAAGAAACAGAAATAGATATTTAAATATGAGAAAATACCGCTACCTCAACAGTGACCAAAATGATGTCAATAAAATCAAGGAGACACTGTTCTCCTAATCTGTGAAAATGAAGCAGTTCACACCAGTTCGCACACACACGCACGCACGCACGCACACACACACACACACACATACAGTTTCCAATGCCGGCAAAGGTACGGGCAAACGGGTTTTGCTCATGGACTGCTGGGGGAGACTATAATTGGTTCAACCTTTTGGAAGAACATTTTGGCAATACGTGTGAGAGGCCTTAAAAATGTGCATATCCTTTGACCCGGTAATTCAATTTCTAGGAATTTATCCTAAGGTGATAAATATTCTCACGAAATTTTCAGACAAGGGGACTCATCCCAGCATTTTATACGATGTGGGGAAAAACAGACAGCCTAAGTGTCCAACAAGAGGAGAAAAATTAAACGAAGATGGCATATTTATACAAGTGTCTATTAACAATCATGTTCCCAGGGAATGTGTAAAGATATGAAAAACTGCTCATGATATAGTAAGTGAAAAGAGGCAGGTTATAAAATACTATGATTCTAATTTTGCTTTAAAAAGCATATGTGAGGGGCGCCTGGGTGGCGCAGTCGGTTAAGCGTCTGACTTCAGCCAGGTCACGATCTGGCGGTCCGTGAGGTCGAGCCCCGCGTCGGGCTCTGGGCTGATGGCTCAGAGCCTGGAGCCTGTTTCCGATTCTGTGTCTCCCTCTCTCTCTGCCCCTCCCCCGTTCATGCTCTGTCTCTCTCTGTCCCAAAAATAAATAAACGTTAAAAAAAAAAAAGTATATGTGAACATATGTGTGCACTGAAAAAACTTAGTACACTAGAATATTCTTAGTGGTTATCTTAAGGGGGTGGGATTATAGGAGCCTTCTCTTTTCTGTTCGATACCGCTCTGCTTTTTTTTTTTTATTTAAAAAAAAATTTTTTTTTTCAACGTTTATTTATTTTTGGGACAGAGAGAGACAGAGCATGACGGGGGAGGGGCAGAGAGAGAGGGAGACACAGAATCGGAAACAGGCTCCAGGCTCTGAGCCATCAGCCCAGAGCCTGATGCGGGGCTCGAACCCACGGGCCGCGAGATAGTGACCTGGCTGAAGTCGGATGCTTAACCGACTGCGCCACCCAGGCGCCCCACCGCTCTGAATTTTCAAAAAATGATTTTAATGACCACAGACTGCAGCTTAACTTAAAACATACTCCATTGGAGAAGCAAACTCAGACGTACGGAGCCTTACAAATGTTTCCTACTATCTTTTCTAAACAATTCACCTTATGGAAAGTACACGTGGATCTAAATAAGTTTCTTCTTCTTTTGGAGAAGAGTCTGGGAGATAGCTACATAATGACAGATTTTACAGAAATGTGGAAAGAAGACATTTACAAAAGTTTACAAGGATAGAGCTGGCAGTTTGGATGGTCGGGTCCCTGGCCTGAGAAAACAGTTCGTTCGTTCTACGATGTTAACCCACCGAATGTAGGACACCCAAAACAGGACATTTGGTGCCAAGGGAAACTGAACATTTGGGTTGGCAGGGACAACTGGCTATTAATAACAGCGGGTAGGAGACACCCAAATCAGCCATGCATTTGCACTCAACTTTGATTTAAACGTTTTATAAATGCGGAAATTCTTCTTTTCAATACTCATTTTCAAAAAAAGAGTTCCTGCCAGCCACCGCCAGCTTTCCTACTCCCACCTTCTCATCCCCAACACCCACACTGGGGGACTTTCTGCTTCCTTTCTTGAGGACAAAGGAGCCACTGGCATGAGCTCGGGGACCACACACATTACTGCAAACCCAGGCCAAGTCTGACCAGGAAGCCGAAGACCGCTATGAGCTTGCTGAGGTGAGATGCTTCTAAGTCTTGGGAATTCTCACTCTGAGAGTAAAAAATGAACTCATCTGCTTCCGCGAGAGTCGGAGCAGAGACATCATGTTCTCTAACTTGACCTGCCGCGGGTCTAACCTCCCTGCTTCTACAGTTTTCCTTTTCTACTGGATTCCACTTGGGCAGAAAGGCATCCGGGCGCTTAAGAAAGCCATCTGCTCTGGCGTATTTGAAGGATGAAGGCATGGGGGGGTGCAACAGTACACATACAAGAAGGAGAAAAAGGAATTTTCGGCAGGTCAGCAATTACTGATGTCCTGAGGGAGCAGCTCCCCTGTGCTGGGTGCTTTAACTCGTTTGTGAGTGCCTTACCGCCTCTGACTTTGAGTATCCTAGAACACCAAAGTCCTTCTATCCTCAAACCCCAGCCAGGGTGACTCTTGGTGACTGTCGATATTAAGGAATATTTCAAAACACCAGATTTCAGAGCTACCTTCGCCACAGGCTTCTTCAGTTTGAAAACGAGGGGGTGATTTAGATCCATGACCAATGGCAGCACGTACAAAGGTGGCCAGCTCTTCCCTCCTAAGACAGGAAGCCCATTATGGCACCTGTCGCCGGTCTCGTGAGCAGGCTGATTCCCATGAGGGAGGGGGCACAAAACTGTAGCCTGGGCAAAGGAAAATGGACAGCCTGTCTCGGAACCAAGCCTTGCATCTAGATTTCTGAGTCTGCTTTTGTCTCAAGGCTCAAGATTTCCAAATTCAGATGCAGAGCAGAATCCTGGCCCCCCCCCCCCCCCCCCGCCCCGTGCCGACGCGAGCCACCCCATCTCTGCATACTGTTCACTAAGCGGCTGCGGTCTAAATTACTGGAGGGGATGCTTTATGCTTGGCCACCCCTCCAGCAGGAGACAACGGGCTTTCTCGTTGGTGTTCAGCAAACCCCACCGAGCCACCGCCGATGCCTCATTAGAACGCAAGACACTCCTGCCAGCCCTGGGCGCCGCATGCTAGCTGCCTGTGGTCTGCATCTGTAGTCATGACAGATGGCGGAGACTGTTGCCTTCCACTGACGACCAAGTACATGATCCACTGCAGCTAATCAATAGGATAATGGAATGAATCGATAGGAAAGATTTTTAGAAGGTCTTAATTAAAGAAACACTTGCAGATACAAATGATGTCTTCAATGTATTGATAGTGCCAAGGTGAAGGGTTAAACACAAACAAAACCATCAACTTTATTTTGCCAGCATGCCTTCCACAAGAGAACAACCTAGCAGCCTCCTGGCCCCGGGGTCGGCCCATTAATCAGTCCCTTGTCAATTCCATGGCCACACTGTATGGGAAAATTAGGCTATGATCCGAAATTTTCATTACGCAACGGCAGCTCAAACAACAATGAGAAATAGACCGTTGCGCCCCCTGTCTGGCCGTCCTTTGCCCCTCAAGTGGGAGCAGTGTTCCACACAAACACCAGTTCTGGAGGCAAACGCCCCTTCTGATGCGATGCACAGAAATTAGAATAATTAAAGAAAGCCTAAATTGATGGATCCCATTTAGGCAGGGGAATTCTCCAGCGAGCCTTCTGCTCAAACATGTTACATCAATATTTTTGATTCCCTCGATGGTCCTGCACTAGGTACTGGTTTAAAGAGACATCAATCTGTGATGTCAGCATTTATCTAATGAACCTTCAAAAATCAATGTCCAGGATGGCCTGTTACATGCAGGCACCCAATTTGTCCACTCTCCTAGCCTTACTGGCTCAACCTACGGCCATATAATAACAGCAGACGTGGACTCAAGTGGCCAGGTGGGATGGGTAGGCCAGGGCCACTCGGACGCGATACAGGGACGAAACAAGGAAGCCAAGATACCCTCCTGAACTTTCAAGGGGCCTCCCAGCTCCAGACATGCCCATCCGAAAACGATCTGCTTCTTCAACATCACTCCCCCCTCAAAACGTATCTTGCCCTCGCGTAGTTGCCTGACAGGATTTTGGTCGCCTTCCTGACAGCTATGGTAATTTCCTGCTTTTTGGGTTACTCGACTGGGATTCCCATTTAGCTCCACTCAACAGGAGGCCCATGCTTAGTTCTCTCCTTGTTAGTGTTTATGCTCAACTCATCCTCACCCTTCTGGTAAGAGGGCTCCTTGACACTGATATCTTGACACCCTCACAGGCAGAAGAGAGGGCCTAAGTTTGTCTCACTTCTTTTTGCCTCTTTAAAATAAATTGGCCTGTACTGGCTGCCATGAGGCTGAGTTATTTCAAGTGCATAACTCAGGGTGACAGGTATGCCATTCACTATGCCCGTATTGGGTCTGCCTTCTAATCTCTGCTTTCATTCACGGTGGTTCTATCTCTCTTGACCGCCAGAGTCAGTCCTGGGAGCGGTGTGGGGCTCGGACAGTTGTAAGACGTGTTGTGTGGGCTGAATTAGCTGTTGTACAATTCCTGTCTATCTCATTGAATACGGCTTTCAGCGGCCCCTCGTGCCAAGTTTGAGTCCAATTAAACTACAATGAAAGGTACCATGATTTCATTTGCTTGGATTGTCACATTTCAGAAGTTCAGTAGCCTGCAAAATGTTCGCTGTCTCTCATTAAAGCCAGTCCCGGCAACTGTGTAAAGGCTCTAATTTAGCTGCTTTTTATACTCTGCTTTCAGCCCTGAAGATGGCTGCCTGCAGGGAAGAATCCTAACGCGACCCGAGATATCGGAAAGCGTTTCTGACCACGCAAATGGAAAAGGCTCAAGAATAGCAAAACTGACTCTACAACAGAAATAAGGTAATGTTCTAAAAGGCTCTTGTTACTTTGTCTGGTGTTGCTCTGGAAGAAGTCTTGCTGGAGGAAGGAAGGGTGTGTGTGCGTGTCTGTGCATGTGCCTGTGTTCGGGGGAGGGGTACGTCCTATGCTAAAGAATTATCAGTACGGTGATCCTATTTTCAGAACCATAACGAAAGTAGGTGTACACTTAAAAATGAATTTCCTTTAATCGAAGAGTGCTATATGAAATCAGGTTGGTCCTGGAAATCTGACATGGATTAGACACTGGATAGATCTTAATTGAGTCCCAGTTGGGCTTACGGAGAAAGAAAAAAATCACCATTCTGTGGACTGTGACTATGCTAATTCCCATTATGGCTCCGGTTTGATGAGGAAATTGCTATACAGATGCCAGCAATGTCAATTACCATTTACTTACTGTTTACGAGATGCCAGGCAGGATATTATGAGCTTACATACACTGTGCCATTTAATCCTCTTGATAACCCATTTTCCAGACAAGCAGACTGAGGTACTGAGAAAGTTAAGTCACTTGCTTGTAAAGTCATGGCTGGTGAAAGAAAGAACTGAGAATCGAACCCGGGCCTGTCTGATTCCAAAGCCCTTCTTCCTAACCATTTGCACTCAGGTTTCGGTGGCGAAGGCTAGTGCAGTCCCCGGGGGCTTCACAAAAAAAAAAACTGGCAGGCGCACCGCGACAGGGGCGATGTCTGTCCCGCTTCTCTCCGAGTGGAGATTAGCACAGCAGTGAGTCCATCTCCACCTCGGCTAATGCATTCACTTTGGAGGTCAGGGATCTTCTGGAGAATTCCAATCCGTCTACTAACTTTTCCATTTTCGAAAATAACGCTTGTGAATAGGGTTGTTTTTTTTTTTTTCCTAATTACAAAAGAAAATTTAGAGAATTGTGGAAATGCCCAAAGAAGACAAAATAAATAACCCACGACCCCACTGCCCATATATAATCATTGTTGGTGCAGATTCTCTATTGCCTTTTTTTTTTTTTTTTTTTGGCCTATAAAACTTAGGATTTCCAGTATTATTTGCTCTGAGCTTGGTGTTTTTCTCAATGAGTATGCAAATCCACCTAGACTACGTGTTGTGTCCTTCCTATGGATAAATGTGATTATGATCACTGGATTAGGTTGGCTGCTCCCTGAATGTTAAACCTCGGGTTCTTTTATTTTTTTTTTATTTTATTTTTTTTTAAATTTTTTAACATTTATTTATTTTTGAGACAGAGAGAGACAGAGCATGAACAGGGGAGGAGCAGAGAGAGAGGGAGACACAGAATCTGAAACAGGCTCCAGGCTCTGAGCTGTCAGCCCAGAGCCCGACGCGGGGCTCGAACCCACAGACCGTGAGATCATGACCTGAGCCGAAGTCGGACGCTTAACCGACCAAGCCACCCAGGCACCCCCCTCGGGTTCTTTTAAATGTGCTGTTGTCTCAACTGACTCCATGGAGGCAAAACATGGAACTTTTTTTAAGGCCCAGGTGCTGAGAACAGGAGGTCAAAGAGGCCCTGGGTCTGGCTGAGTGTGTCAAACTCTGAATCCCAGAAGCTTAAAATGTAATCAGAGTTCCTCCTACCAGCTCAGGGACCCACGGATCTTCTAGTATTCCTTAAAAAAAAAAAAAAAAAAAAAAAAAAAGCCCAACATAAAACCGAAGAGATCAGTTTAATTATGTATGCGTAAGAAATAATCAAGATCAAAACATGCTTTCATTTTCTCGGGTAATTTTTTTTTTTTTTTGAAACACGTTTGGTGGACATTCTTGCTCGGAAGATGGAAATGATACCTCAGCCCGCAGCAGTCAAGGGTTTACAGAACTAGGGCTGCTGCTCTTTGCCGGGCCCCGGGAAGGGTGTGATGAACACAATCTGAAATCAATATCAGGGAACAGTTACTGCATCTCAATATTATTTGCCGAGATGGGCCACTGGAAGAGGAGTGGGAGAAGAGAGATATATGTCAATAGCTTTCACGAAGCGCTCCACGGCCATGCACAAAGGGAGGTCAAATAACTATCAGCCGACCAATCCCCATTGTAAGTAGTAAAAATGATAAAATCAATATTATTAAATAAAAAGTTAGCACTGCTATTGAACTCTCTCATGATCTTAGCAGCGCCTGGCTGAAAATGAAGGAGGCTATTTTCCAATCTCTTTAGGGGCAAATGTTTAGGATCATAAACATTTGCAAAATGTAGGGGCAGATAGATCTTTCTCACGTAGAAGCGGAGCTGCGGGGGTGTGTGAACAATGGGGCCAGGTAACTGTCACCTCGCTAGAAAACAATGATCTTTCCCACCCAGGTGAACAGATATTTTGAGGGCTGCCAAAGACTACATCATTTAGAGCTGGACTTTGCCCCTCTGTCCTTCAGGGGGACAGAGGTTGGGCTGGCTCAGGGCTTTCCAGGAAAAGAGAAAAGGTCCTATTTGCTGTCCTTTCCAATCCTGAGATTTGGAAATGCACCGGGGGGGGTGGGGGGGGGAATCACGGGAGAGAAAAGAAAGAAAAAGAAAAGGAAAAAAAAAAAAAGAAGGAAGAAAACAAGGGCATTTCAATACCAGAGAACTGACCTATTCTTGTCAGCCCAGAGGACTGTGGGGAGGCTTCTCAGAGCCAAGAACGCGTTCTTTGCTGCTGGCGTTGGGTGGTTAATTGTGCAAGCAGAAGGTAGCATATAGCAGGTATTGAAAAAGATAAATTTAGAATAAAGATAGTCCAGCCAAAAATTCCTATGAAAGCAGCAAGCTCCAGTTATATCTGGAGGAGGAAGGAAAAAAAAAAGAAGGATGTGTAAAACTGAGTGACAGCCCATGGGCAAGACTGCATTTGCTGCTCTGACCTGCATTTAAACACAGAGCTGCTTAGCCTTTTGAACACCTAAAGTTGGCTCCCTTGTTTGCATTTCATAGAAACTACTATAGAAAGTAAACAAGGACCTTTGGTGAATTATTTAGCATACAAATAAACCAGCAAAGAAGGCTAAGTAGGCCTATATGAACTAACTGGATTGAAATATTCATCTGTAAATAACCCTCCAATCTGGTACTTTCACGTACAAATACTACATGGAACATTAGACACAACTAGCTTCTAGGGATATTTAGGCTCACTAGAGAGCAATTTTTATGTCTGCTGGCATCTGTGGGTAGTGATATGGACTGACTGTTAATATAACCAACATAAAATTTATGTGAGCACTCACTGAAATAGCAACACACTGTCAGACAGCTGGTGGCTGATGCAGAGCACATGCGGATTTTATATGCACTGCGTAAACTAACCTTTGCAATAAAGATTTAGCAGGTTTATTAGTTTAGGAAATCGCTATAATTAAGGATAATTCATAATGGCCGCTTATCCACTCTCCAGCAATAGCTAGCTTAATTTAGGCTCCATTTCTTGGAGCCATAAATAAGTGAGCTGCTATCTTCTGCACAGATGTGGCATTCAACCTGTTCGTGTTGGCTGGTGTTTGCTTGTGTTTTAATCAAAAGCATTAGTAGATAAGACTATAAAAAGCACCGGGTTTGAAATAAATTAGCAAGAAATGCATAGGCAAAGTCTTTTTTTTTCAACTACCCCCCTCCCCCACAAAAAAAAAGAAAAAAAAGAAAAAGAAAAAGAAAGTAACCTCTCCCTCCAGAGGTAAAACAATTAAAAATAAATAATCCTTTTAAATGTATTAAAGGAACTTTCATTTACAAACCCAAGGAGAGAGAATGTGACAGAGCAATACCATTAATGAAGGCCAAAGAAATACGAGTGTGACCTCTCTACAGTATTTCCATTTAACTGTGCATGTAATTAAAGGCTGACCTTTGCAAATGCACCACACGCTGACGGGTGGCAGCTTCCCCTGTGATCCAAGCACGGGCTTCAGGGACGGGAGGTTTTCAGAGCGCAGTCGCCTGCCTTCAGTGTCTGCTCTCTGTCCCCACTGACAGGGACACCTTGCCTGTTGGTCCTTAGCAACACCTGACACTCTTCTTCCGTACATCCACTCCATCTTTGGATACAGCCTGTGCACCTGGCACACACTCAGGCCATGAGTCAGCAAAAGGCAAGGCGTCCCAGAAGGTGGGTCTAGATCGTCAGCATCTCCGATGCCGGCTGGGTGGTGAGCATGCCCTACGTGTGGGGCCCTCTGCTAAGCCCTCCCTGGCCTGGTCCGAAGAGCCAGCCGAGGGAGACCTTCCCTTCTGGAGATCTCCCCCAGAAAGCTACAGCTGGCTGTCATGGGGATTTGGAGTCACATAAAGGGAGAGGCTATGCAGAGACTTAAGAGTAGCTTTGTTCTTGAGATTTTCTGGACTGTGGAGTTAATCCTGGTGTAATGGAAAGGGTGTTGGTCTAAGAGTCGGAAGGTCTGGGCTACATTTCCCAGCTGTGTCACTCAACCTCTGCTGTGACCCCAAGAGAACGAGTCAGCCTCCCTAAGCTTCAGCCTCCTCGCTTACAAAGTGGGACACCATCCCCTGTCCCATCTAGTGCACACGGACTGCTCTGAGGACTCAGGGACACGGTGCCCACAAAGTCTCCTGGGACAGCAAAAATGCCATGGTGAATTCTAGCCCAGCCACTTGGCGGGGGTCGGGGGGGGGGGTTCTCCACCCCCGAGATCCCCCACTGTGAAATGGGGCCACTGCTATCTGCCAGTGAAGAAGATAAAGAGAAATAACGTGTGCAAAAGTCCACTCGAAAGGGCACTACTGGGTAAGTCACCTGAGCCAGGTGTCCTCCTGGGAGTTTCAAGCGCTGCTTGTTGCTGGCCCACGGGATGGGTTCCAAATACACCAAAGGTCCTCACAACCCCACAGACCAGAGGCGGATGGTGAGGAGGACTGGTGGGGCGGGGTGGGGGGAGAGGTGCTGAAGGAACGCCATGCATTGATGGGCACGATGCCAAATGAGCTGGGAACATGAATTTTTAAAAATTGTTATCTTATTACCAAAATAATTTTTCCATCCCTGGGGGAGTATT